TATGTTCACACTTAACTTTCTCAATAATGCACAAAATCTGTAGTAATACTTGATGTTTTATTGATATAAAAGAACCTGTTATATGTTTTGACTATAAATCATTCGAATCCTTTTCAGAAATTCTTAACTGCTGTTGACAATTTACTGTTGTAACAGTTGTACAACTGTTTGTTTTGTTTCTAGTTGAAAATTGTTTTCGTTTTACAGTTACAATCAAGATACAGGACAAAATAGGTCAATTGAGCAACAACTGTCGGAACAAAAAACAACCGAGCGACAACTGTCAGAACAAAACGACAGCAAGAACAATCTGAAGCTGAGGACCAGGGCACTGTATATTCGAACCCCCCTCCACATTTCTCGCGCCACCCCCCTCCACATTTCCAGCGCGAGAAAAAAAAGCGTTCGCAGCTTCGGTGTTGCGGTGTTTCTCCCTCAACACCGCAAGCTCCAAACCATCCGTCATCATGATCGGCACTACTCCGTGCGACACCTACGGAACCAGTAGTCGCTGTCCCGAGCTCGACTTGTGGGCGACGTAGGAGAAGGGGTACGGGTATTCCCGCTGCGCCTATGTGCTCATCGAAAAGACCCAGCAAAGCGGACTTAACCAGCCACGTCCCTCCTGCTGAGACAAATGAGCTCGACGATGAGCCAGGAGAGCAGCCCGAGGAGGACGATGTCGAAGAGGTGGACCCTTTGCACCCTGCTGCGGCGAATACATCAGACGAGGATGCAGCGCACATTCTCGGTGACGACCTGGGCGAAGAAAATCCGTACTTGGCGACGAGAACACTGAAAAGTGCGATTCACCGTTGTCAGCTTCCGCTGTTGGGAATCGACCAGGATTCCACTCGGCCAAACTACGTGTCTAGCTTCATGCATTACAAGGCTTGGGTTGTCTCACTCTGGCAGCCGGAAAATGCAAAGGAGTGCCTGTCGAGGAGCAGGTGGTCAACAAGGATGAGGTCGGAGAGAGATCGGCAATGATTTAGGGACGGGGTGGAGGGCGGCGCTCCTTAACCAGGAGCACCTGCATGGGCCTTGGACGTCGAAATGGCGCTTGTGGGCTTACGTCAAGTACATGTCGACCGAAACGGACGAACAGGCGGCTTCCTTGGATACCGGGCGGACCAGGGTAGCGGGACGGAAGCCGAAAAAAATGCACACCACCGATGATGCTGGCGCGCCTAACTGCGCTAGCATGCTCGTGCAGAGTGGAGGCCATACTCTTCGACGAACCGCTCACAAAACCCTTGGACGACATCACCGAGGCTAGGCAGCTACTAGCAGTCAAGCTGCGACAGCTGCACGACTACCAGTTCGAGTAAGTACCCTTCCCTACCCCGCGTGATACAATTTCTCACTCACTATCTCACTTACGAATTGCTGTATCTTCCCACTCAATGCAGGAGGTGCGTCGATCCGCACCGGGGCTCGCTCGACGATTGCTACACGGAGGAGCAGTTCCGCATTCTCGTTTCAGACATCCTGCCGCACTGTGCCAAGGTGTACTTCAGGTCGTCGATGTCGTACCCCAGTCAGAGTTGGAGGCCAAGACAGAGGCGTTCGCGCAACTGCAGAAAGCGTTCGACGCACTGAAAAAGACCGCGGCGACAAGCGCAGCTTCAGATGTGGGGGAGAGCGAGAGCGTGCCGCGGACGGTGACCGAGGAAGCCACCCCCGCTCCACAGCAAGCCCAACAAGCAACGCCCTTTCGACAGTGTGTGGGCAGCCAGCTCGACCAGGCCTTCTTCGACGCGGTGCTGTGGCCGTGGTGCAATTGCGAGACCGTGCGGAAGGCGTGCTCGTACTGGGACGGGCCAAGCCCACTGAACAACGGGCACAGTCTTCGACACGCGTACAAGAGGGGCTTCGCCGTCAAGTTCTGCAAGTTCACGCCGACTCCACCCCCCGTACCCCCTGAAAAAGAGGCCCAGCCAAAAGACAAGCCCCCAACCGCAAAAGCTATCGAGACGAAATGGCTGAAAATGGAGGCTGTCATGAAGGTCGTCGAGCATTTCCGGATCGACGATAGCAGCGCGGCTACGTCGACGGTCATCGAAAAGCTAGACTCAATTGTAAAGGACCACTCGATCAACATGCTTTCTAAGGGAATCGTGCTCAACGAGGATTCCGGGAGGCAGCTAACGAAGAAGCGCAAGGTCGAGTCTGCAGAGGAAAACCGGAAGGACAAACAACGCCTCAGAATCACTTTGGAGCTCATTCGCGTCGAGCTCCGAACCACAAAATGGGCGAAGAATGTGTTCGGCAAGGAGAAATGGAAAGAGTTCACGGGGACAACTGGCACGTGGCCTAGTTCAACGGGCCACCGTGAGGCGGGGGGAACCTAGTGTGGGTTGTTCTTTTAGAACAGTTGTACAGTTATGCAATTTGTGACACTATCACCACAAAATGAACCAAACGTCCATTATCGATAACAAAAAGTCAAGGACCATCAATCGAACACATTCTGTCGATCAAACAAACGATACAACAAACACAACTGTCGAGAGATGCAAACACCCCCACGCAAAGCGCCCGCCTATAGTACTCCCCTTGCCCGCCCGTTTCCGTATCCGCTGCATCCTCGTCGCCCAGCTTCGCCTTGCCCTTTTCTTCTGGCATTGCCAGGCTGCCATAGCCCGCGTCCTCCAGCAAGCGGGCAGCAGCTCGACAGCAGCACCATTGAGTACAGACCTGTGCTGCCACGCGCACCATCTGCAACCAGGGCCTCAGATTCGTTTTGGGTGACCCTGAGCACTCAGGGTCCCTTGGGGCTGTAACACTGATCATCAGGGTTTCCTGTGGAGAAACACTGATTTCTCAGGGCTGTAACAATGATCACTGAATCTACAGCCACAATTAAAAATAAAACGAATCTTTTTGCGCCGTTTGCATCAGCTTGGACAGCCAATCTCTTTGAGCCGTTTTGCCAACCCAGCACGAAATTACCCCATTCAGCTGTATCTAGGTGAGCCGCATGGTGGCATCGGTGCAGGGTGGGTACATGAATGATGACGGCGCGCAAAACAGCGAGAATCACGGAGTTTTCGGTTTCAGGGTCGTCTCCGATACAACACTGATTCGTCAGTGTCGTCAAACAGGAAACACTGGAAAATCAGTCCTTGGAAACATATAACACTGATTCATCAGGGTTGTAAAAAGAAAAAGGTTGATACATCAGGGTCACAATAAAAAACGGGGGTCAAACTTCAGGAAATCAGGGTGAAATTCCTGAAATCCGAGGCCCTGTCTGCAACAGGATGGCGTCTGTCGAGCCGAGACCTTCGAGAGCCGACGAATACAGCTGATCGAGCCACTGCTTCGCCGGGAACGTCTTGCCGATATGCAAAAGTACGGACACGACCGCGGCCATCGCAGCCACACAGGCCTTGGTTGCAATGTCCGGGGCGTAGAGTGCAGCGTTTGCGGCAGCTAGGGCATCATTCTCAATATCCTTCCTCGACAACTTCGTACAGGCCGCCCACAAGCTCGCCACAGTTGCTGCGATGGCCATCATGTGTGGTGTCGCCGCCATACCCTTCGGGACCGGATAAATCAGGTTCCCGTGCTTCAGGCCAAGCGACGCGACCTTACCAATCGTCGCGTACAGCATGATTCCCCAGCCGGTTCCAGCTTTCACTTCCTTATTTGCCGTCGCCAACAGTGACTGGGAGCTGCACATCGCAACAAATGCGTTAGTGAAGAGGTCAGAATTCGACTGGAAGATCATTTACCGCCAAACAGCAGGACTTGGACAACACACTCAAATAACAGGACTTCAACAGAATAGTCGAACAACAGAACTTCGACAGAACTCACTCGTCGAAACGACATTCCCCTTGTTCTTGGGCCATGCTCCAAACGCCGGTTGGCATTTCAGCGGCCGCATCGAGATAAACCTTCCAGTCCTTCGCATCCTGCGCCGTAAAGCCTTCGTACTCCGTAAGGACTATGTCGGGGAAGTACACGCACCAGCAGATGGCCGTACAGAACTTTTGGTCCTTCTCTGTTTCAAAATGTCCCAAGAACCGCTTTCTCCCGCCGACGGTCTGCTCAGAAACCCGCTTCCCCTTCCTAAACCCTAAACCCGGTCCTCTGAAGGGAGCTTTGCAGCCTCTCGTCTTGCCTTGGTCGTCCGGCCGAGGAGGTGGGGTGTAGCCGATCACCTTGGCCTTCTTCGCCTTCTCTTGTCGAGCAGCAACGACGGTAGACGCCTTCTCGACAAAAGATTGGCCAGCATGGCTGGCCAGCTCCACCACGTGACTGCTCTCTCTCGCCTCTGCAGCGCGCATTGTCGTCTTCGTCACGGCCTGCCTCTTCTTTGACGCAATAGGGGAAACCAGTTCGCTAAGGCAAACGTCGCCTAGGGCCGGAGCAGCGGCGACAGGAGCAACTGGAGTGGTTGAGGAAGATGCCAAATTTCCCACAAGCTCGACAGCTCGGCCAGCACCACCGCTATGCGCAACTGATGCCGCTTTTTTCTTCGACAGCAACTCAGCGCTTGCCTTTCCCGCTCCTTTCCCCGCATCGCCGCCGGACGGGGTAGAGGCACCTCGCTTTCCTAGGGCTCTATTCCCGGCCGAGGCGATGGGCTCGATTGGGCCACCACTTTTCTCTCCCGCAACCACTCCTTTTCCACCCGTTTTCCCCATGCCCTGCAGCATGTCCCGCATTGAATCAATCGCATCAGGTGGAGGCATCGGAGCCGCTACGGAGGTTTTTGGGAGGGGCGACTAGTCGAGTACGATGACCTCGTTATCCTCGACGGACTTGGCGACAGGATGACGGCCACGCGACGGTGGGGATGCAACCTGGCTGGCGACATGTCCTCCCACCGAAGAAGAAGGAGGAACCGACCGCTCGTGAACTCGAGGCTCAGCCCCACCCCGAACCCCTCCCACACCCTCCTGACGCGACCTCGTCGACAGGCCCGCCGAGCGCTGAAACCCTCTCGCCATCGCTTCGGTGAGGACTCCAATCTCCCTGCTTCGGCTTCATTGTACGCCTTCTCTCACAATAATCTTCAGCTCCTTCATAAGCTCGGGTGGGAGGCTGGAGTAGAACATGTCCTCCTTAATCGCTTTCTCGAAACCCTTCACGACCGCAGCAACCACCCGCTCCTCGACCTGCTTGAGTTGCTTCTCGACGGCGTCCTCGCTCGCTTTTGTGATGGCGGCTGCCACTCCCTTGATGATCTTCCCGCTCATTTCGTCGATCTTCGCCTGCGCCCCTTCCAACACTTTCCTCTCCTCTGTGACACCCTTTACAGCGTCGTCACACTGCTTCAATATGCTCTTCGACAACTCCAAAATCGTATTCCAGGCCGTCCGAAAATCTGCAGCAAGCATGTTGAAAACTCCGGCTTGCTCACTGTGTTTCCCAAAGACGTCGGCGACGAGCTGCTTCTGCGACGCCTCGACCTCGACCCTCTTCAGTAGCTCGACGACCTGGCCTCCGGATGCAACGGCCGCCGTCGATTGGCTTGTCGTCGAAGGCCGCCCGGTCAAAGGGCTCGCCTGTCCGCCACTCGCCGTGCAGTGTCTCCTTGTTACTGCGACCTGTCGCTCATCTCCTCGACGATACTCTTGCGCAGCCTCCCCGCCCTCCTGCTCCTGCCCTCCCGCCCTACCCTCCTGCGCAGCCACCACGCCCTCCTGCTGCTGCACTCCTGCCCCACCCTCCTGCGCAGCCGCCACGCCCTCCTGCTGCTGCCCTCCGACCCCAGCCACCATGCCCTCTTGCTGCTGCCCTCCGACCCGACCCTCCTGCGCAGCCGCTCCGCCCTCCTGCTCCTCGACAGCCTTTGTTTTTCCCGTCGCCTGCTGCTCGATATGCCTTACCCGCTCGACCACCCGCTCCCCGAGCACCACTCCGTCGCCATCGTGCTCGACTGACTCATCGCTCGAGCTCGAGCCGGAGCTCGATTCTGAGCTCGAGCCCTCCTGCTCGTTTGCATTGCCGCCCGGGCCGCTCACCCCGTGCTGACCTTGCCTCGATGTATCCTCCTCGATCTCCTCCTCCTCGTAGCTGTACTCAACCACGACGCATTGCGTACCCTCGCCTCCTCCCTCGTGTTCGACACCCTCTCCCACTCCTACTCCCTCCACCACATCGTCCATCTTTCTCAAAAACAGCATGACCATGAACAACGGAAGCATACTTGGGCCAGGGCTCGTTCTCCCGAGATTCACGAGCTCGCCTTGTCGAGTCTGCAGGATGAACTCGTTCCACTTCGACAAAATCCGGCGCACCCCATGCATGACACGAGCTGCCGTGTCGGGTTCATTGGGGCTCAACAGGGGCGTCGTAGTCTGTGACGGGTAGAAAACAAACGTAAGCGACAGAACACATGCTCGACGAGTAAGTGTAAAAACTAGCTTACCAGATGATCGAAACTCGTGGTCATGTCCAGACGCATGTCGATGAGGCTAAGTACCCCCTGCTCGTGCTCGGTCATAATCCACTGGGTCATCGCGTACTCGGCGCTAAGCTGCTTCTTCATCCAACTGCAAATTGACAGGAGCATTAAAGATTGTCGAGAACGGCAAATTGACAGCAGGGTGGCAACTCGGTCACTCACACGAGAACTTCCTGCGCCAGCCAAGGTTGGTGGTTCACCGCGGGAAACCTGTCTTTCGAATCGAAGTGTAGCATTCGAGTTCGACAGCCATGGTCCCTCCGAACCAGCAGATCGTCGGGGTGCGATACCACAAACAGGCTCGAATGGGGGAACGGCGCCACAATCAGGCTGCATGCAGAGCGAATGCACGTGAGCACGGGTTCAGTACTAAACACGAAAAGCGCAAGGCGACGGGATAGTGTCGAACTTACGTGGTCCGCGGCAGAACGATAATCACTTGCTTGCCGAGCAGGCCGTCGAGGTGATTGTTCGCAAAAGCGATCGGTGTGGGACGCGCCATCTCTTCATGCGCACGCGTCGAAGTCACGATCGACAGCTTGGTGAGCTGCTCGACGGACAGCAACTCCCTTAAAAACAGGCTGCACAGAAAGCTAAGGCTCAGTCAGCGATAGGTAAACAGAAATATGGCAAACCGAAAATGCTCGACAGAAAACGTACTCAATGTCCGCGTTCATCATCCTCTCGTCGAGATCCACCTTTGGCGCCTTGCTTATAGCATTCAACTGGTCTTCAAACACCTCCACCTCGACCCCGCCTGTGGTTAGGATGAGGCCGTGTCGAACCGTCAGCTCGTTCAAGACGGGTTGGGAGGAGGGGCCCGTAGTCATGACAGACCTAGTAGTAGGGAGAAAGGGAGCGCAGGGAAGTTCGGAACTAGGGAGTTCGGAAGGAAAACTCGGAGACAGCAACAAAATGAGAACGCACTCAGGGTATTAGCTGTTTGCCATCCCCTCCACCTAGACAGACTTGGGTGCAAGGGCGACGAGGCAGGGCGTGTTCCGAGACAGCGGGAGGAGGAGCTTTTCGCAGAGGGCGGCGGGGCCCTATTGGCCTCGACGTGAAATCTGGTGGTTGGCTGCATGAGTTGGGGCGCCTTGCATGCAGCTGAAAGGCCCCTTTCAAGGACCGGGAGGGGGTATGGAGGGGGCGTTCGACACGTCACCATGGTCGAGCGCCTAACGAAACGGACCCGTCGAGGGCGAGAGCGGTGGAGCGCGGCGCAAATGGACGTCGCTTTCGTCCGCTCGCGAAAATTCGCTTACGAGTTCCGTCGGCGAGGCGACGCCCGGCGAGGGTTCCGTCGGCTACCGGACGGAACCTGTCTACGAACCGAGCGTGGGGTTGGGCTCGGTTGGGGGGGGACCACTGCCAGCTCGGGGGCGCGAGTCGCTGGCGTCACGTGCAGCTGGCGCCAGCTGGGGGTACCTATTTTCGGGCGGGAGGGGGGGGGTTGGCTCCCGCCCCTCGCGTGCCCCGCTACGTGACTGCGGGAAAACGGAAATTCCTCCAGAGAAAACCCGCAGGGGCGAAAGCGGGGTTCCAGAGGGATCTCGCTGATATCTTCCCATCTACGGAATAAATAAAATCCAAAACTGGTTTAATCAGTAAGGTCGACTTTGTCTGTTAGGCCAACGGTTCAGACTGATGAGAGCTTTCTGTTAGGCACTGATGGAGAACGATCCGACAAGGACAACGCCTTCCCGGCAGGCAGAGGAGCGACTGCTACCTGTCGATGTTGAAACCATCTCGACAGAACCGCGTAGGACGTCACAAGCCATACCGGGCTCGGCACCGCCACCATCGTTGTCACGAGCCATACCGGGCTCGACAGCTGCACCCTCGACGTCAGAAGCCATACTGGGCTCGAGAGCAACACACTCGACGTCACGAGCCATACCTGTATCTACAGCGCCACCCAGGGCGCTTCCAGTTATCTCATGCATGCTTCCAGTGAATTCAGGACGTTTTGTTAATCTCTTCAGCACATGATGCTTTCACTCATCTCATCTCAACTACATCAGCTTACAACTATTCTAGTGTCAATTCCCACAGCACATGTGTTTCCAATCTCATACGATGATTTGAGAGTTCCTGGTCAGTATTTCTTAGCACATTTGGTTCCAGGTATGTCATGCCAAAATTGTCATATTTCTTTCAATACTGCACATGCATCTCTATCTCTGTGAGTCGGTGTAGTGTAGTCGATATACCAGCTAGAAATGTGGCCACTATGAAGTATACTTCTCCATTAGTCATTTAGAATGAACAAGGGTTGATGTGACAGATTTAGCAGCATTTGGTTTCTCGTGTGTTCATGGTGGTGTGTATATCTCCAAGAGTCATATTATGTTGGGAGTGAACAATCGTTGATGGCACAGTCTAGCACGAGGGCGAATCCTGTTCTTTTTCTTATTTGTTTTTTGTTGGCACGTTCCGGGCTCCAAATATTTGTTTCATGGCTCACAAGGAGTTTCAGTTTCATCACCAGCACGGCGAACCAGACCAGCTGTCACAGCCGGACTGGTCCATGGATTGCTCACAAGTGATTGGTCGGACGGGCAGAGTTGGCGTGAGTGGGGCAGTGACAGCACGTGCTGGTGCCCAGCCAGCCACTGGTGGGTGCATGCAGCAAGGAGGAGGGGAAGGGGCGAAGGGCCTGATGCAGGCAGCAGGAGAGAAGGGGAGGAGGAGGGGTGCGGTGAGGCGATAAGAGCAGTGCTCTGGGGATGAGGGAAGTCGTGCGGAAGGGATGGGTGGGTGGCATGATGGGAACATTAGGCATTCAATTCACGGCAGAGAGAAGTGCTCAGTGGCACGCACTCCATGGGAATTGCACGTCGCAAACTTGCGACACATTTGCTTGCACATGCTTGCGAAGATTTTTCTTGGCTAAAATCTGTCGACTCGATCAGGTTACATATTGTTTTTCTTTTCGTTTAAATATTTTCTCTTAACGAGTCTGCAAGTATCGCAGTTCTGCTCTTTGCTTCTCTTTCACGACATTTTCACCGTTCTGGGCTCACGAAATGCCGGAACCCTAGGTTCTCCAAAAGCAATCCGTTGGGGTGAACCATGCCTGCGAGGCGCGTTTGCTACAGTGCATTTCCTGACAGTGCGATTCATTGCGACGCGGTTCAGGCTTTCCGTCTCATTCGCTTTCGTCCCTTCCCTCCTCCGCCGCTGTACTGCCTTGCAGTGTGTTGTCGATGACGGAACTGAACCATTCTCGAGCAGCCTTGATCTTATCTCATCACAGCAAGTCCGTCCATCTCACCAACCATCGAGTCAACCAAACAACAGCCCCCCTCTTTTTGTAGACGAACCGCTTCCTTTTTCTCGGGCAGTGGGCGAGCTTTAACGCGATTGGCTGTAACGAGCCTCCGTAGGTTCGGCCCCAATCCCTAAGCAGATATTCCCCCCACCATGTATTTCGGGGTGCTCTATCTCCTAGGTTCGGGCAGCCTCTTCGGTTCCAAGCAGAAGGTTTCGCAGCCTCCAGAGTCCCGAGCTCCATCCACCCATCCCTCCGCCTTGGAACCTCGTCATCAAACACTTCAAAGCTCAACCGTCCACTTCATTCCCACCACCAGCAGTTGCGATTTCCTCTTTCCTTCAACTCTCAGATTCAGCTTCTAGCTCCTCGAAACTTCGATAAGCTTCAGCTCCTCGCTTCGGCTCTCTTTTCGCCTGTGTTCTTGACCGCTCGCTCCTAGTGCGATGGCATCTCTGACCACCCCGTCTCTTGTTGGATCCGCGAACTGTTCTGCGGTGTGCGGCATCAGCAGCAGCTTCAGCCGCCGCGCTAACGTCTTGAAGATGTGGCGGCGCGCGATTGCATGGCGCGTGGGGCGCTTCATCGAGAAAGAGCAGTGCGCTGTGCGCTCCCCCCGTGCGTCGCTCGGCTTCTCCCCTCTGCGACCCAAGCCCGTGGCTAAGCCGCCCAGCAAGAAGCCCAGGCCCAGGGATGTGATGGGTACCGCTGCTGCTGTGAAGCCCAGAGCGGTGCAGAACGGTCAAGCGACCATCGCAGCTGCAGCAACCAAAGCCGCGCCAGCTAAGGCGACACCAGCAAAGACGACGCCAGCTAAGGTGACGCCAATGGCGACGCCAGCTAAGGTGACGCCGGCTAAGGTGACGCCAGCTAAAGTGACGCCAGCTAAGGCGACGCCAGCTAAGGCAACGCCAACTAAGGCGACGCCAGCTAAGTTGACGCCGCCAGCTAAGGTGACGCCGCCAGCTAAGGCGACGCCAGCTAAGGTGACGCCAGCTAAGGCGACGCCAGCTAAGGTGACGCCGCCAGCTAAGGCGACGCCAGCGACACCAGCTAAGGCGACCCGTGCAGGTCCTACTGCCGCGGTAGGTGTGAAAGGTGCAGGTGCAAGCAGCCCAGCAGTAGCAGCAGCCGCAGCAGCAGCAGCCTCAGCAGCTCCCCAGAGCCCAAAGGCGGGACTTGCTGGCGGATCTGGAATCCCGAGACCTGCAAGCAGTGCGGCACCAAGGAGGGCCGCAGCAGGAGCGACGGCAAGTGGCATTCCCAAGCCAAGGAAGGTAGTAGTCAAGTGAAGGGGTAAAAAAAAAAAAAAAAAAAAAAAAAACATAAACGAAACAAAGCAGCAGCAGCAGATGAGATCTAGGGCGTGTTCAATGGGGATGTGAAGGGACGAGTGTGGTGGGTGAGATGGCATGGCTGGTGGGGGCTAGAGGGAGGTGCATGGAGGGACTTACCCCTTTTTCCACCCTGCTTGCAGGGTGTTGTGGGAGAGATGGGAGGAGAGGTGGAGGAATGTGGTGAGCTGGAATGGGGAGGCATGGCATGAGGGGGAATGACATGCCCTTGGATCCGCTGCTGATGCGCCTGAATGCTCATGCTGACTGTGTTCTGTTGAAGCTGTTGCTGCTCACCTGCCTGGCTCTTGAATGGCTCTGTATCCGCTGCTGCACCGCGCACTTGCTAGGCTCTTGAAGAGTGGAATGATCTAGATTGTCATAGATTCGGTTCTTCGTCTGTAGCTTGTAGTCGTTGATGCTATATTTATGTATGTGCTGTTGATCTGCTTTCTGTGCTTGTGTGTTGCGACTGGTTGGTGCATGGAAGGGAGGAATGGTTGGTGGGTGTATTCGTGTGGTGAGGGTTGAAGCAGGGGGGAGTGAGTTGATGGTACTGCCACTAACTGTCTGATTCAAGGGAAATGCTCGTGCTGACTGTTGTCATGACTTCACCCCGTTTTGATCCCTTTCCTTCCCTCTGCATCCCCCCTCTGACCCACTGCTTGGAATGATTTCGATGTGTTTCCTTTGCGCTTCTTGCTGACGTCATCGTTAGGAAATTCGAGCATTCTACCCACAGTCCCTCTTTTTGCATCGTGTCCTGACTTTTCTTGTCTGTCTATATTGCAACCACCTGGTGCCATTCCATCTCTCCCTCCCTCCTTGAATTTCTTTGGTATCTGATCAGTACTTATGCATAATCCAACCCAAGGTTTCGTTTTTCGTATGTTACCATTACCATTATGTGCTGCTTGGTGGTGAGTGTTTCATTCCAGTATTTTCGCCTCCTGTTGTCATCGGGCTTTAAATTTGTCGTCAGAGTCATATCAGCTCAAGATGCCTTCACCATTCCTTATCAGCTCTTGATGCTTTCACCTTTCCTTAACAGGTCAAGATGCTTTCACCATTTCTTTTAATTCCATTCACTGTCTCATTTCAATATCATCAGCTCATCATTTTCGCAAAATCTCATGCCATCCACATCAGCTCTTGATTCTTTCAGTGGTTCATGCTAATCTCATTCAGACATAAGCTCATAGCATTCTCCTGTCCCTCTCTTCATATTTCTTATCTTCCTCCCTCCACCTCTCTCACCTCTCTTTCACATCAGCTAAAGTTGTTGTTGCTGTCTGTTTCCGTACTTGTTTTTCTTTTAGCATATGAAGCTTCAGCATCTCATGCCAGTTTCATCAGTTCCTGATGTTTTCGAAATTTTATTTCATGTCGATCCATGAACAGATCATGGACCCTAAACCGTAAACCCTAGACGCTTTAAGATTCTCATGCGACTCTTCTCAGCCCATTAATCCTTTACCCTGTCTGTCATGTTGCTTTCATTAGCTCATCATCCACTCCTTAGTTCGTGAGTCTCATGCATATAAGCTCATGATGCCTTCAGTTGCTTGTGCTCATTTCACCTCATCATGATGCCGTGAGGGAATGGTGCGTGGGAGGGAGGGACGGCCAGTGGCGTGCCTTTGGCCAGAGGAGGGGTGAAGGTGGAAAAGGCTCAGCATGGGTTTTGATTGACGCCTTTTGTTTTGATTACCTCCAGCTTCAAGAGATTTTACTTCTGCTTAGCAATGCACTTATAGCCTGTCTTGCTCTGTCGGTCAGTTTCCATAATAAGAGTGCCTCCCTCTCTGCCCTTGTGAAGTTTCAACTCAAATTTCCATTCTGTGTTGACAACTCCCCTACTTCCTGCCTGCTCAACATCCTTTCCGTCTGCTACCAATCAGCCTTCACCTATGTTGCGCCTGATGCGTCAGGCGTTTTTGACGCTGGCGTCTGGACGGGGCGTCCAGACGCTTGACGCCCGGGTTCCTCTGCCCTGGACGCCCGCTTGACGCTAGTCCGGGCAGGGCAAAACTTTTCCCGGGCAGGGGTAAAAAGAACCTGCCTAGTATGGCTACACGGGGGTTAGTATGCAACAGTTATAAATACTTCAGAAAATCCAGGAAATCCTGAAAATCTCCTGAGGTGGTGTGGAGCCACTACCACCAGAATGACTGGCGGGACTAGGAGTTGACATGATAACTTTATCGCCTTAATCTAAATTGAGCTAGAAAGGCTTAGTAGCGTGACTGGCGGATTCTAGGCCTAGGTATGCTAGGCAATGTCGAGAGAAACAGATCTGTGTAATGCCGACCTGGATCTGGATCTCTAGTTTAGATAG